TTATTCCACTGATTAAATTGATATTTTAAGTAATTTTAAAGATTTAGTGAAATTGTTAATGTTTTCCAGTTAAGCTAAAAGCAAAAGTATTTTTATTTTTGGGAGAATTTAGAATCTATGAAGACCTGATGTGGAAAAAACTTAATAATGTCAGCATTTAAAAAATGTGTTGAAACCAGCTAAAAGAAAAACATTTGAAACATTTCAGAAGGTCTTTCTCTCTGTTGACCTTGGTCATTTTTCAAAACGGCTCTTTAGTGAAAAAAAATGTTTTCTGAATGCTATTTATGTCCGATCTGAGAATAAACCCTGAAAGGAGCTCTGTACAAAACAATGGTCTGTTTTATTATTTAATTTCCTTTTTAGATTTTATATGAATAAAATAATYACTTAAAAATTGATATTTATTTGATTTTCCTACATGTTTTGTCTGTTGGTGAGTATTTTCAGGGTTTGGCTCATGTGTGTGTRTGAAGGAGTGTTGGAAACCATTCAGCAGATGTTTTATTTAGTTATTTTTGGCACAAACATCTACACATTACCAACATTTGGCAACACAGGTCATTGTTTTTTCAAAGATATATTTTCCATTCATTCAACATGAGCTGTTTATTAAAGGCTAACTGGCTATAGAATATTTCAGGAGGTAAAACACTTTTATTTGATTAAAACAAATACTAATTAGTGAGTTTCTGAGTAATCTGGTGCATTTGTTCTGACTTTTCAAAATAAAACTCAGAAWAMAAAGTTACAGCTGCTGTTCTTCTGAGTAAACCTGACTATAAAAACACTATAAGAACWCATGCAGGCTATTTAGAAAACACCCCACAAGTATTTAAGAGGAATGCTTTTGTGCTGCGTTGTCATAACAAATAGTCCCGACTCGACCAGACCTACCGTCCATCTCCAGCTCCCAGCTGCAGTCCATCTGTCTCTCAGCCTGAAGCCAGTAGCGACTGTCGGTCCAGAGAGCTGCCTTCGTCTGAGTGACCACAGCCGTGCCTGAAACATGAATAACAGCTAAAACTGACCRACGACAACATGAAAACATCCCTGAGGTCACACAGAATCAGCTTATAACTGCAGAAATGTAATTTTCTCTGAAATCAGCTGAAGAAGCTAAAACTGACTCATTAAAACTACATGAAGCAGAACACTAGCAGCTAAAATGTTTTGCTAAAAGTACCAAAAAACACTAGCTAAAACAAACAAAAAGTTAGTTAAACTTAGCAAAAGGCTATCTAAAAGTAGCAAAAGAATAGTTAAAATAAAAGAAACAAAAGATTAGCTAAAAGTAAATTGACACAGTTTAGTTAAAAGCTAAAAGTAACAAGAGGTTAGCTTAAAGTAACAAAAAGGTAGTTAAAAAGAGTATAAAAATGTTAGCTAAAAGCAGCAAAAGATTAGCTAAAAGAGGCAAAAGTGTAGATAGAAATAGGAAAAAAACTACTAGCTAAAAGCTAAAAGCAGTGAAACACCAGCAAGAAGCTACAAGTAGCCAAAAATTAGCTAAAAGTAGCAAAAGACTGGTCATTATCTAAAGCAAAAGGTTACCTAAACGTCAAAAGCAGCAGAAAGCTAGCAAAAAGCTGGAAGTAGCTTAACAGGATAAAACTAGAGTCATTTTGCTGAAACAGACAAAGATAAGAAAACTTTTGTAGGAATTGAGGAAATCTGTGTTCTATAAAAGGTCACATTAACTAGAAGTCAGAGGGCGCAGCTCCTGAACGAGCCGAATGTTTCCATAGGTGAAGAGATAAAATAGTACAAAGTGAGCACAACTGATACCATTAAATAAAACATACAGAAAATAAAATAGTGTAGGAGGCTGACACAGTGATCCTTTCTTTGTTGTATATCTGACATCAGATTTGACAGTCATGATTTAAAAAGAAGACTTTGTTGCTTAAATGGAGCTGGTTCTGGTTTAAACGGCACTTCATTCATCTGTCRTTTCTCTTCTCATTATGTTTTTGAGAAAGAGTCACAGCTGATCAGTGATTCTCTCCACTTTTCAGACCTTTTTCAGTTTTCAGTCACGTGACTTGGAGACGCCGCCGAGTGAGGAGATGCAATCATGCAGARGGTGAAAGCCATGAAAACAAATGAAGGAAGGGACTCGTGAGGGATGAGAGTAGAKGAGCTGTGTGACCTGCAGCAGTCAGACGGGAGGGGTTGAGTCATGAGGAGGAGGAGGAGGRGGGTCGTACCTGCAGAGCCTGTAAAACCAGTCATGAAGGCCATCCTGGCATCTCGCGGGGCGATGTACTCACTCTGTCAGAGAAACATAAAGAGTTACAACCCAGAAACCTTCAGGCGGGTTAATCAGGACGGACAGCAGAGGTACCAGGTGAGCGTCTGTGCCGGGAATAATATAAGCTGAGATGTTCACAGACAGCATTCGCTCTCGTAGCTCCCGCAGCTGGAMGGTGGTGTTCACCGCTGTGCTGGGCAAGTACTGAAACACAAAACACTGCATATTTAAAGAGCTGCTGATTCATCTCCTTCACTGTAATCATTAACTCGTTATACTCCTCTGAGGTCAAGGTTACACTTTCATTCTTGTGTCTTTATGTAAAATCACATCTGTGTTGAGCTCACCGGTGGAATCACAGAACAGTTCCTCTCGGTTCGCTCAAACGCTCCAAAAATAGTTCCTGAAAGCAGATTTTCACAGAAAAGGCTGAGAGGCTTGTTGGAAAGTGACACAATGAGTGACTGAAGCACAGATCCTCTTCTTCTTCGGCTGTCTGAGACTTCTCAGGCTCGACTWATGTGACCCGAGGCTCGGGAATTATAGCACAGAGAGTCAGAGTCAATAAAACKGATTCACAGATAGCTTTTTATGAACGCAGTTTATTCTGCGGCATATGAAAGAGATGTAACTGATCTATAAACAAGACTGTTTTTTTACATTGAAGACAAAAGTCAGATAAGTTTAAATGTTTCTGTAACCAGAGAATTAGCATTTTCTGCGTAATGCAGCTTTAATGCTGAAGGATTTTTGCAGAAACAAACAAAAAAATGACCAAAAAATTTGCAATTTGTCGTAAAATATGTGTGTAACTACGTTCAGTTTTGTTGTAGACTTGTGCAATGACAATAAAAACAATTCTATTTTATTCTATTTTATAAGAAATTGAAATGAGCAAAAAGTAGCTAAAAAAGCAGGATCTAGCACAAATAAGCAGAAAGAACTCATTTGCTGAATTAAGCAGCCAAACTCATCACAACATGGTGAATTTAGCTGAAAAAAAGCTAAAAATAGCTAAAAGGTAGCTTAAATTGCAGAAAACAGCTGAATAAATCATAAAAAGCTGAAACAAGCAGAACCAGAACAAACTGTGAAAGGTGTATGAAAGGTTTAAGAACATGTTGAAGGCTGAAGGAGCTCGATACCGTTCATTTTCACTGAGAAAAAGAAAAAAGGTTAAACAGCTGAAACACCAAAAGTCAGCCGGACTGTCCCGAAGGAACGTTTTGATACATGACTTGTTGAAATGACAAACACTGAGGAATGAGACACGTGCTGAAAAACGTACAGAAGAAAAATGGATCGTCTCAATAATCCCAGCGGACGTGTTAATCCAGAGATGAGAGCAGAGACAGATGAGCATAAAAAGAAACTTTTCTTCCTCACCTGTCACTGCTGCTGCATTCAGAAGCAGCAGCCACACACAGGAAGTCATCTTCATCCTGCTCCGAACAGACCGGCTCTGTGTGGCCCGAGAGCTGATGTGCAGGCAGGTGGTGTGAGGAAAGTGTGTGTGTTCCCGCTTATAAGACCGTCCTCTCTCTCTCTCCTCCTCCTCCTGCTGCTGCTCCTCCTCTTCATCATCACCATTCACAATCTCCTCTCCCTCCCTTCTCCGGTAAGAAATCACAGGAAGCAGCTACAGGAGTGGATTCTTTAAGACTCAGCAACGATTCTTTCCCTCCTGACCTGAAAGATAAACTGAGTTTTTAATAGTTGTTTTTTTTTTTTTTTTTGTTGTTGTTGTAATTATTTGTGTGTGTTTTGTATAAAGGATGATTGTTCTGCAATCAGAGAAGCAGCAGGAAATCACAGCTCAAGCTTCTTTTATGGGGAATGTGCATCTGGCTCCAGAGGATTCATCTTAGGACAGATAATGCCTGACTGCAGATTCAAAGATAATCAGCAAGGCTGCGGAAATGTTTACAGAAAATAAATCTTCTTAGTTTTTTTTAAACCATGTGTGTTATCAGGTCATTTCATCTGTCTTCAAACTCATTTGCAGCATCTTTTCTGCAACTTATTCTTCTCATATTAAAATAATCTGAGTGTTTAATGGACTAAWGCATGATTTATTCTCTGCAAGTAGACAAAAAGTGTCTTTTTGTTCTTGCACCACCTCTAAGAAGCTGTTCTGTGCTCAAGCTTCTGGCAGAACTTGTTCTTTTTRCAGGGTTTTTGGCAAATACTGTGTGATTATTCAGATCATTGTGTTCATACGTATGTAAATCCGTTTTATGTTTAACTTCGACTAAACATGAAACATCACAGCTATGACTGAGCACAACTAACAAACAATAACTGAGCTCTACCTGGTAGTTCCTGCACAGAAACAGCATTTTGACACATCCTCTTATAAACACGGAAAAGTACTGACAAAGACTGACTAAATGTGAAATAATACAGAAATAAGAGAGTTTTACTCACTGATGAGTTGTGCTGAGTAGCTGCCATCTTGAATTCTTGAACTCTCCCACTTTTCAACAGGGAATTCCCACTGGAGGGGCGTTCTACTGTAGTTAAATTTACGATTGTAAGTGGGAAATTCCCGCTTCCCAGTAGAACTGGGCCGTAGCAAATGTAGCTGTCGAAAACGCAACAAAACAGATTTTATGTGACAATTTTTTTCAGGTAAAATGATCAACATGCATTATGTGAGATGCAGTTTACGGTCAATGCTAGCTTTAAAGAAGCTTCCACTTATTAATACATCTCTGAAGYTCTCACGGGCCACATAATATATCATTAGGGATGTCCCAATCAGATACTCAGTATCGGKATTGGTGGCAGACTTTTTCCATTTTTTGAAAATCATGTAAAATCAGATTTAGTCATGTGATYGGGCCGATCCAGTTTTGGCGACAGTTTTCAGCATCATCATGCTTTACAACTGCTGTTAAGAAGTCAAGAYGCACACAAGTACACAGTGTGGGAACACTTTTTGATGGAAAACAATGATGCTGAAACTGCATCTTGCTGCAAACTGGATGTTTCTCATGGTGGGGACAGCAGGGCTCGCTTTAATACTACCAACCTTGTCACTTGGAAAGAAATAAAGCTATCRGATTGGTGTCGGAAAGACTAATCATTAAAAAAATCGGATTGTATCGGAGCCAAAAAATCTGGATCAGGACATCCCTATAYATCATGGTAGCTCACATTTGGTTACAGGCCTTGGGTTTGACACATGCTGTATACTGAATTTCAAAAATCCAGAAATTTCACCAAAAAATTTGGTGATATTGGGGATGGGGGTAATAATGGTGGCGGTGAAGCAGTTTCAGTCTAGTGAGAGGAGGAGGAAAGAGCAAACTTAACTTACAGACTCTGATATAAACTTTGTGACTCAAAAAAGTAACCAGATAAGTTCTACATGTTGTTGATCAGTTTGAGATATTTTGCTAACACACAAACTCTTATACACATAATTCTTTACCTATTTATAGCAATGACTTCTGATAGTAACTTGTGTTTGTTGCTACAAATAAATTTCATTATTCTGGACGTTAGTTGAGCAAATGTGAGTTCATTAACGTCTCTGAGTCAATTAGTCCAGAGTCAGTAAACCAGAACAGCTCTGCCGCTCCTCGCAGCTGTTTGTTGTTGCTGTTTCATCAACGCACAGCTCCAGAATTACACATCGTTCCACATWCCAGCCCGCAGAATGAACCCACCTGATGGGATTATTAATAAAGCAGCAGCTCTGGGACCCTGGCTGTTCAGACCTCCAAGCTCTGAATCAGGTCCCAGAGAACAGTAGACCACAACAATGTGAGTCTGTTCTTACAACAGTCTGAAACTATAAGAGGAAACTGTAAAACTTAACTTTATTTTGGCTCAGAACATCATAAATCTGACAACAAACAAACAAAATCACTGTTTGTAACTGACACTCTCTAAGCTGCTTTACAGTCCATAAAATATTTGTATTATGAGACCTAAATACTAAGTTAGACATAATTATCAGTCCAAACCGTCTGACATTATCAGCAGAACCAGTGGTGGGCACAAAATAAATAAATAAATAAATAAATAAAACACTAAACACTAATCTGCTAAACAAGAGTCTTAGCTTCGCTAATGCTAAATCTCTAAATATATAAAAAAAAAAAATCAGAGGGAGCTAATGCTAACTGCTAAGACTAGCCTACTGTCACTCATTCTATTTCATTTTTGTCCAGCACAGCTTGTAAGAAGAGAGTTTTTTTTAATTGGGATAAAGGACATTAAAATATGTTTTACACTTGATTTTTTAGTGAACTTAAAATTAGCTAAACCTAATTTAGTGGAAGCTAACTGGTCTGCTAACAATTTCCAAAGTTAACAAAATAACTAAATCAAATCTGCTAATTCAAGATAGTTTTGCTGTTAGCAGATCTTTACCCATCAATGAGCAGAACTGAACAAAAAAGATAATTTGTTTTTCTATATCAGTTTAGACATGACTGAAGAGTCATCATATTTAAAAACTTAAGCAAATTTCTTGCCTATTTTTGGCAAATTAGGTAGTTTTAGTGAATTATCACACAAGTGCTGGAGCTTTAGAGAGAGGTTTGTCTAAAAGAAAACAATAAAAATGGGGGAAACAGTATTTTTTTTACATCCTTGTCAACAATTCCTAGCTTTGTGCAGCAGGTCTGGTGAAAGAGCGTTAAGAATTTACATTTATAATCATTTTTGCACAGAAATCATCAGTACAGACTGCTATTAAAAAGCTTCAGCATCTTCTTTTCAACTTTACCTTGTTGTAGCAGAACCAGCCGGTTAAAAAGAAGCCTTTACCATCTGAGCTGATTAATTATCAACACGGCAGATAAGAACCACCTGTGGAAACTGGAACCATGACCTTTGACCTGCATCACAGCTGTTAATATTTGATGATCATTCGTTAAAAATTCACATCAACAACAATCTTACAAAGTAACACAGTTTAGATTCTGCTGCATAAAAAAAACAGTTGAAAACATGTTTCAGGATAAAAATAATTTAAATTTAGTTTTTTTTGGGCACCAGCAGCTGTAGTAACTTCAAATGACCACTTGGAGGTGGAAGTGCATCATGAATTTAACTGATTTTGGTTCTTATCAGAAAGATGAATAAATATCAACTCACACCAAAGCCTGATAACTTCTAAAAACTCAAAAAACATTTAATACTTTTTTTTATCATATTCTTTTTCTTTCAGCTGTTCTCTCTTCAAATTCAAAAATACTTTATTGATCCCAGAGGGAAATGTGTTGTTGTAACTCATTTAACTATCGATGCCGATGTCTGTGTGCAGGAAAGATCTTCTGTAGYGGTCTGTATTACAATGAAATTGAAGAAGCCTCCGACTGAAGACACTTTGTCTTTCTATGACAGTCTGATGAAGAGGATGGTCAGGGTTGTCCACAATGTTCTTGACTTTATGCAAAATCTTTCTTTGCACCATCATCTCCAGAGAATCCACAGTCGTCCCCATCAGGTCCCTGGCTCTGATGCTGCTGCCCCGACACATGACGGCAGAAGAGATGACGCTCTCAACAACAGACTTGTAGAAGATCTGCAGCATCTTGCTGCAGACATTGAAGGATCTCRGCTTCCTCAAGAAGTGCAGTCTTTTCTTATAGACTGCTTCACTGTTGAGTCTCCAGTCCAGTCTGTTGTCCAGATGAACACTGAGGTATTTATATTCCTCAACCACCTCCACCTCTTCTCCCATGATGGAAATAGGGTTTGATCTAACATTATTTCTCCTGAAATCTACAATCATCTCCTTTGTTTTGTTCACAGAGTTGATCTGCACAGGCCTTCGGGACTCTGGGGCTGACACCATCTGGACCTGCAGCCTTGTTCTGGTTCAGTCTCTAGCTGCCTCTTCACCTGACGTCTAGATACAGAAAAGTGAGAGGAGGAGGCAAAGGCAGCAGCAGCATCTCCTGATTTGGTTGAAGACAAATAAAGTAAAAGTAGCTATTTAAAAAAATAGTTATAGGTAAATAAATAGGTAAAATTACAAATCCTCAAAAGAACTTCTGTAATGAAGTAAATGTACTTAGTTACTACAAATCTCTGCTGTATAATTTCAATCTAAGTGTGTGTGTTGATATCTATGTATACACTGTAGATATTATTAGCTGTAAGTGAGGAAAAATATTTTTCCAATAACCCAGTAATTTTAAGAGTCACAAATGTTATTATGATAAGATGCTTTTACTTTCAGTCAAGTATCACTTTGAGGTACTTTATAAAGCACTGCTTGTATTTAGGTTTATTTCCTGTTCAGTTTAGTCACGCTCACTGCTCACCTGTTCTCTGTTTCATTAGCTCAGCTGTAGACCTCAGACCTTAAAGCTTTTCAGCTTAATGTAAGCAAAGCCTTCAGTATTTTACAGAGCAGGTCTGGTTTAGTTTCTGTGTCTCCTTTATGAGCTCCTTTTAAAACTATCCTCTGAGGAACTAAAAGTTTTGTTGACACACCAGTTTTTTTTTTGTTTTAACAAAATAAAAAAAACATTGTTCTTTTAGCTTCCTGTTTTTTTTATTATTCTAACTGTCCCAAAACAAAGAAAAACAAAGAAAGAAAAAATGTCTTCCAACAGAGACAAATTAAGACCCTTTATTTAACTATCTGACCAACATATAAAGAGTTAAATCCTGTCACCTTTCATTTAACAGAGATGTGACCACAGGGGGGCAGAAGTGTCTAAAGTTTCTGTGTCTCACTGAACATCTTGTGCTTCATCCTTGTTGCTTCCATTCACCAGCCATAAAACGTTTTATAAATTAATTTCTGTCTGGATGTTTTATGGGTGCGTGTCTGTGTGTGTGTTTTATGGGCGTGTGTGTTTGAAGTGTTTTTGTCTGCAGGATTAGTTTTCGGTGTCGGGCCTGAGGATGAAGCTCAAAGTTGTGGACCTGGTATTAATAAATGGTAGCCCTGGCAACAGCGTTCGGTGAGTCAGAGGTGCTCAGGGCGCTGTGGTCCAACACGGATGCTCACTGAAAACCTGAACCAGGTTTGGATGGGACCCGGACCCACATTTGTGCTGAATGCTCATGACCCGATCAGCAGCAGATATTTACTTCCATCAGCTCTTCCAGAGGACAAATCATGTTGGGAGTTTTTGTGACTCAGAGGGATTTGGAGGTTTGTTTGCTTTGAGCCACTGTAAACCACCGCAGCTCCATGAAACGACTGGCGCTGCAGAGTTTCAACTCTTTCAGATTAAAATACAGTAAACAGTCGAAGGAAGACAACATGGGTGTTCCTCCTGCTGCTCTGGGATCGCTGAGATGGTTCTGATTCTTGCAGGTCTCTAAAGGGTGGATGTTATTTTTAAAGCCTCCAAAAACAAGAAAACCTTTGTAGACTTTAATTTGCTGAAGTGGAAATAAATCAGATTAACTGTAGCAGACAGCAGACATCACTGAGTCCTGCAGGCCAAAAGATTTTTAACAGAATGATAAATAATTAGAAAACAAATTGATCTGGTAGAGTTACATAAAGGGTTTTCTGACTTCAGTCACGTTTACACTCTGCAGACCTGCAGAAAATAAACAACTGGCTGCAGAGTCAGGGTCACTCACTT